GTGTCCCCCCCCCCCCCCCCTTCCCCCCCACTGAGATTTTTGGCCACAGAGCAGCAGATGAACCCCATCCTGTGGCCTAGATACAGATCCCTAAAACCCTGTCAACTGTGGAACCAGTGTCCTGTCTGGGACTTGAACCCTGCTGGGCCAGATCTGTGGGCCAGATCTGTGGACCAGGTCTGTGGACCAGATCTGTGGACCAGATCTGTGGACCAGATCTGTGGGCCACATGCTGCACATTTAGAGGAGTTGAAGTGGAAACTCCACTCAGACTGTATGAGAGCAGACGGAGCTCGCTGCTGCTCCTGCTGGTCATTAGAGGAGACACAACCATGGCCTTTGTACCAGGGCTATTCAGGGATCAGTGGGGGAGGGCGGGGGAGGGCGGGGGAGAGAACAAAGCCATGCTGTCTGTGCACCAGTGTTGGGTCACTGCCTGGATTTGAACCCTCAGCTGACAGCCATTCAGTCTTGGTCACTTTGATCAGTTTTTCTGACGCCTCACAGACGGGGGCACTAACACATTATATACCCTGGGGCAACTACTGCCCTGAGCTGGGGGAAAAACAGAGAGGCTGATGGGATTAGAACCTGCTGTAATCCTGATCCACTCAGCAACTTAATGGACAATAATGACCAGTGTCTCTGTGAGTCTGAGTCCACGGTACGGTACGGTACGGTACGGTACACGAGCAGGAAGAAGAGAGGTTCGAATACAGTAGGTGGCGCTGGTCAAGAACGTTTTACCAGCTGAATAGAATTGACTGATGACCAATCTCTGAGCCAGTCCCAGCAGTCACCAGACGAGGGCGTGGTTTCTCCACAGACACTGGGTCACTGTTGTCAGTGGTTTATCTCTGAGAACCACAGCTTTGGTCTCGCTACTCCCTCCTGTGGTCAGATGAAGTCAATGCACGGAGACCAATTTTGCCTGGTCATTATGATTCATTCACTGCCAGTGACATTTCAGACCCTGCAGCGAACCCTACAGGTGGATGATATTTGACATTGAATTTCACTGAGGCGACGTTTTGTTTGTTTGTTTTTTCAGTCTTTTCTTCAGTGAGACCGCTGTTTACTTTCAGCAGGTTTTAATAATGTTGTTAACAAACGGCTAAATAAACAACCACTGATTTATATTATATTATATTATATTATATTATATTATATTATGTGTTTGAATCTTTTCTGAAGGACGTGGTTAACAATAATTATAATAATGTAAAGACTGATCAGGTAGGACTTGAACTGCTGACCTCCGTGTTGTGAGGTAACAGTACTAATCACTGTGACACCTTCTGTCCTAGCATGACTCGTTCTTGTTAAATTCCCCCACAGACAGTCCACAGACCTCACGGGGGGGGGGGGGGGGGTCGTTTGTGTTTGTTCTCATTTGAACTCATCAGATCAGATCACAGACAAAGGTCAACGTCATCAACGTCACCAGCCATTGGTCAGTTCACCTGAAGTTGTGTTTTCATTAGAATCAGTGGAGCAATGGATTTTATACAGTTGGTGTCTTTCAGGAATAACTGCCACCTAGTGGTAATATTTCGCACTGCTAACAAAGACCCAGAGGAGTTCCGCTCACATGCAAAACAATAATGATGTATAAACAAATAAATACAAACAAATGTAATCAAAAAATCCTGAACATGTCCATGGAATCACAGCTGCGTGACTTCCTAAACAGAACCTGGTGGAACTGCTTCGATGACGTCACAGCTACGACAGTGTTGATGAAAAGTGATGGCTGGCCGTGGCTACGCATCTGATGTCAGGCCAAGCCTGCGCTGTGACACGACCTGTGACGTCACACCTGTAATGGGTGACTTAACTGTAAATAGCTGTGATGACGTCACTCTGTGGTCTCAGCATTTACAACAATCACATGAACACTCAGTAACATGTGTGTCATATGTTCGTGTCCCCTCTCTCAGTCTGTCACAGGAGTCGATCAGCCATCAGCCGTGCTCACAGGAGGAGGTGGAGGAGGAGGAGAAAGGGGAGGAGCCTCAGGGAAACCCAGGAAAGGCTTACAAATATCGCGTTGCTGCTGTCACGGATTCACGGGATGTGAAGGTTCGGGACCGACGGTGGAGTCGGTGGTGACTTTAAACTGTGGACGTAACCTGACAACCTAGCAGCAGGAGCAGCAGGAGGTGAAACGAGGAGCTGAGGAGGTGACGGCTGACGCGGAGGTTGTCGGTTTTCACACGACGCCGTGTTCACTCAGCGGGACCAGGCCTCGGGTTCTGGACCGGAGCTCACAGACCGCTGGCAAAATGTCAAGGATGCTCGGAGTAGGAAGAGGAGGAGGAGGAGGAGGAGAGACAGCAGCAGCAGCATGACTGTCCACACTGAGTCACGGGACACGACTCAGAGTGGGGACTGAGACAAAGACACGGGACTTTAATCGGACTCCGTGGAACGTTTGGACCTGTCCGTGGATCCTCGGGTTTCATCGACGTGACTCTGGGCTTTTCTTCGGTCGGTTTTCACCAGGACTCTGCTGCTGCTGATGCTGATGCTGCTGCTGATGCTGCTGTGATCGGGTGTGAACCTGTGAAGGGGAGAGCCGCAGCCCTGCTGGGCCACAGATCGCTCCACGGAGAGGGAAATCCCCCGCGGCCCCCACCACGCCATGGATGACTCGGGGATTATACGGCGCCGGAGGCTGCAGGTGAGTCGGAGCGACACCAGGAGACTCGGTCCAATCGGTGCTCACTGGTAGTCCCGCAGCCACATGTTGATTACATGAGTTTATGGCTCTAAGATTATTATAGGAATTCCCCAGGAAGCTGTGTCAACAGAGGTGCTGCTCCCCCTATGTTTATGACTGTAGACCAGGCCAGACCTGACTGGTAGATCCAGAGCTGTGAGGTCATTTCTGAAGATCATCGTCGACGTGGTTGAATTTAATCCAGGAACATCTTCAACAAACAGGTTCAAAGGTTGGACCTCAGACTGGACAGACAGTCCTGGACCCCCCCCCTCCCCCCGGGTCTGGACCAGAGGGGGGATTTGATCATATGATTGTAGACCAAAGCAGCCGAGCCCTGAAACCTAAACACAGATGTGTTGAAGTTCCAATCTCTTCTTCTTCTTTTCCTAGTTAGTCGTTAAACTAGGACTAGTTAATGCTAGTTCAGTGACTCCCCCCTCCCAGAAGGTCAGGGGTTTGATCTTCATAATGTGTTTGACAAAATAGAGGTGATGTGGAGAGCCCCCCCCACCCGGATTGGTCGGGGCCTGGGTCAAAAACGACCGCCAACAGTGCGGTTGACTTACAGGGCACTGATGGAAATTGGGCTACTGTTGGTCAAAGACAGAGAAGAGGAGGGTGTTTTGTTAGTAGAAAAAGAGAAAAGATGAAGAATAGAAGTGTTGATCTGAAGTTTAGAACTCTGAATGTAGGTACAATGACAGGGAAAAGTAGAGAACTAGCTGATGTGATGGAGAGAAGAAGAGTAGACATTTTGTGTGTGCAGGAGACCAGGTGGAAGGGCAGCAAGGCTAGAAACATTGGAGGAGGCTACAAACTGTTTTATCATGGTTC